TTTCATCTATACAACGGGGATTACAAGCAGATCGACATCGTTGGTGGATATGAGGATTAAAAGAGAGAAGACACAGAAAATGTTTCGGACAGTGCCTAGCTGTTGTCGGTGTTCGATGAATGCGAGCTAGGCTAGATCAAGTAGAAACACAACTCTGCCCTTGAATCTTAGAGCTGACAAGATAGCATAAATTCTCTGGTGACTGAAATTTTCCAATTTCTTAATAAAGTCATTCGCCTTGCTTTTCTCTGTGCTTTGTAAGAGGAACTGCACTTAGATTCTCCAAAACAGTTGATTTGATCTGGCCCATTTGGTAAGGAATGTCTGACAAAAGTGCACCGTCTGATTCAGATGTAGTGATTGCTGTAGAAATTGGCTGTAGACTCTTCAGGGACTTCTGCAGTTGAACTGAGAAGACATCCTCATCAAGTACAGTGCTGCTAACACTTCTGGGTGCTTTAAGACTCTCGACTACTACTGTTTCTTAAAGAGCCTCTTTGTTTTTTAGAAAACTCTCCAAGGAGATTAATACTCCACCCCATGGAGTTTTACTACAGACTTTCGCTGTCAGTATTTTATTCTTTATGTCCTGTTTTTTCTTGCCTCATCTTAATGACAACGGCGACAGTATGAGCTTCTGCCTGTTGGATGACTTCTTTTCCTCTCCTTTGGCTCTTTTGGGAATTATCTGGCTTCACGTTATCACTAAAAGGCGGTGTGGGACAGACACGGCTTCAAACCCCGGCTCTCTCCTTTACTAGCGCTAGACCCATTAGGAAATCTTGATGCCTCTCCGCGCCTCCATTTTTTCTCAACTTTGAAACAAGGACGTTAGATCATCTCGAAGGCTCTTGCATCTTTAAAACGTTGTCATCTTAGGAAGCAAGGATCCAACACGAAATGCCCCTTCCCCTGGTCACATGTGGGTTCTTGTCCATTTGTGATTCCTGGTGCTGTTGTCCCATGACTGGCACTGTGGGTGAGCAAAACACTCTTGCCTCTCCCTATCCTCTGTCGGGTAACACGTACTTCCTAACCTATGTGTTTTGCCACGTGGCTGGTTTTCTCCTCCTTCTGGTTGTGCTTCCAGTTCTCGAATCTCTCTCTGCTCCCGTGTGTCCATCCGTCTGCAGTGCTCTGCCGATGCTTCCTTGCACACATTCCATTACCCATTCATATCTCTCGCTAAAAGAGGCTTGCTCAAAGAATGCTGCTGGGCAAATGGTACGATGGTCTTAGTAATTTGAAAACTTCCTGCGGTCCGTGTTTTCCATTATTGACAACGGGGTTCCAGAAGAATATATGGCTCTGGCGAGAGTTTGGTCAATTTTTTCCTCCTCTTCTGGTGTCACCTGCGTACTAATGAAGCCATTGAGCGTGCTTTGTATGCGGCGGCTTGCACCTCCGTTGGCTCAGGGGTCCTGATGGGCACCTCTTTGTGGTGATGCTGATGTTTCAGAGTCCGCAGTGGCAGCAGCTTCACAGCTGTATGCAGAACACCAGGAAGCTTGCGTGCTTCTTCCTCGTCCTGGGCATCTTCTCCCGCATTTTAAAAATGTCTGAAAAGCACTTCCCAGGTTCAGTTCTTTAACTAGAATTTGGGAATGTGTCTTTCAAGGAACAATTCCGCGGGTGACTTCCAGCATGCAGAAGTTTCTGTGTGCCGGAAGTTAGCCTGACTGTTTTGCAAGAGCAAAAGCCAGTGGAACTAAACAGTGCAGTGGGGATAACTCCAGGCTAGCTGGAGACACCTTTCCAGGCATCCAGCCTCTCTTCCTTTCTCCGAAGCTAGGTAGGGAATTGTATGACACAACCTCAGATTACAAGGAATTCATGTGTGGCAGGCTGTAGGAACCAGGCAGCTGAAAATCAGAATTCGGGCGCATTTAGATTCCTGTTTTTCACTTTTCTGGCTGCTTTCCAGGCATTAAGATCGCAGGACCAGGAGGAATTGGATTTCTATATCTTTCTCATTTCAAAACCTCTACATCTTCCCTAACTCTCCTCTGTCTTGGGGCTTTTTGACCAGCACATGCCATATTATTAGTCTCTCAAGGAGTTGATAAATATCGCCGTCCTTGTCCATTTCAGACCCACTCCACTGAGAGATGGTCAGGAGGAGTGAAACTTTTATTGACAATAGAAGTCAATGAAAGAAAACCCACAACAAAGCAGGCACAGATACTTCCTTCTTCCTCTCTGGGAGTCCGAAGTGATCTCTTGTCTGATGGTTCTGCTCCGTTGTTTGTTCTTGAGTTTTAGGAAATAGAAGACCTTAGCTATATTAGACAGTAGAGAAGACAACCAACCATTCTATTGCTTGATGGGCTATAAGTCACAATACAAGTCACTGTCATCTCTCATCATCCCCTAAAAATTCATAATGGCCTGTTCAAACTATTTTTAGAGAAAAAGCAGATTTCAGCATTGACATTCTGCCCCAGCCTTTACCTCTTCAAAGGAGACCAGCACACATGAAACAGTCAGAAAACAATACAACCCGCCTGGCGTTGGCTGTAAGTGCAACAGAGTGATAGAGAATCAATCAGTAAATATTTATTGAGCATCCTTTATTGAGTTACCAACCATGCAAGGCAGAGCAGAAGACAGGGCCCTGCCCTCAGTTTGATTATGGTCTATTTGAGGAAGCAAGCCATAATATGAAACAACGGGTCTGATGCCTTATGAAATATAATGTCGTGGTCAGCCATGCAGCACAGACACTGTAGAAATTTGGAAGGAAGAAACTTCCCTGATGGGTAGAATGGTAGGCATTTTAAGGCTCGAGCTGGAAGGAGAGGGTAGCTATGCGGAAGACAAAACGATACGGCAAAAGCACAGAGGTTCCACAGCGCACCCGCCCATGAAAGCAGTCCAACTAAACCAGGTGGAGTGAGAATCAGAGCTGAGAAAGTCAGGTGGGGAGAGTACCCAGGAGGCTTTGAAAGCCTTGGCAGAGTGTGGATTGCAACTGTGGACCGCAGAGAATCCGTGGCGGTCTTCACAAGGGAAGTGATAGGTTGAACGCAACGTTTCATGAGGACTAGCCAGGCAGCCACCCTTGGGATAGATGGGAGAGGCAAGAACGTGGAGGCAGGGAATACAGGCAAAAATACTGTTGTGGCTGACCAGGGGCAGGTGCTCAGGAGCTGAGCTATGGAGGTGGGAGAGGCTATGGAGACAGGACTGATGTTACAGACATTGCTAAGGGGAATTGATAACACTTGCTGACTGACTTCATCTAAAGGGGAAGGACAAAGGCTATACATCCAGAAGGATTCTAAAGTGTTTGGTCTGGCGGTCTTCAAGAGGGTCAGGAGACCTGATTGGGAGGAAGATGAGTCTGCGTTTATTCCTGCTCAGTTTTAGGTGACAGTGGGACAGCTAATGAAAATGTTCAGCAGGCAGCTGGAAATGCAAAAGCCTGAGCTGTAGCCCTGTGTACTTTGGGAGAATTGAATCACTCAGATGTGTTGAGGGAGAAGTGAGGAAACTCACACGGGTCAGAAAAGTAGGAGATGAGGTGAAATTCACAGAGAGGGTGGCCAGGAGAGCGAGGGGCACTTTGGAATAGCCATAGGGAGGATGAAAGCTGCGGGTGGGTGGGGGGAGCTGAGGAAAAGGAAACGCACTGGGCCAGATGTGCAGAGTTCTGTGACTCCCTGCATCTTGCCACGCCTTGCCTTCTCAGGGTCAGACAGAGGCACCGGAGTGGGACAGTGGACAGGCTGAAGAGGAGGAGGATAAGGGGAATCTGGAGAGGATAAATGGGACCCAGGAGAGCATCACATTGTCTCTAGGGCATGGCACTGCGGGAGAGGGAAGAGGGCAGATTGTTGGCATTACAGATTGAGGCATAAAACGTAAGGGAGGTGGTGATCCCTTCATGGTGATGGAGGGGACAGGCAAGAAGGGGAGGCCACTCAGGTGTCGCTGCATCCCAGAGATGTCTGTGAACCATGGGTGGCTCCCTAATACTGGCTTGCTTTACCTTCGCTCCAGGACACTGTGAAGGAAAGCCCTGCTTCCCACCCTCCAGACTCTAGCTAGTAGAAGTTTCCAGAGACTGAGGTCCGGCAGTTGGTGGGGGGAGAGGGGTTTGCTCGTTGGAACTTGATCTGATCCACTTGAACTGTTGGCTCAAAGCCCCTGATTCACTTCAGGGATGGTTTTTTTTATCATTTAAAATTTTTTAAATTCTTTATTCATTTTTGAGAGAGAGAGACAGCGACACCGAGTGTGAGCGGGTAAGGAACAGAGAGAGAGGGAGACAGAATCCGAAGTGGGATCCAGGCTCTGAGCTGTCAGCACAGAGCCTGAGGCGGGGCTTGAACTCATGAACCACAAGATCATGACCTGAGCCAAAGTCGGACGCTCAACCCACTGAGCCACCCAAGCGCCCCATATCATTTAAATGCCATAAACACTAAGAGCAAAGTAACCCACTGGATGCCTCCCCCACCCCCACTCTCCACACCTGCCAGGCCCAGCACCTGCAGCTCCACTGAGAGAGGACAAGAAATACCCATCGGGCCCAGAATGGGTGGGGGTGGGGGTACCCTCCAAGTCTGAAGGAAAGATGGGGTGTTAGAGAGGTGCGGGGTGAACAAGATGATAGAGGTCCATTTGGCTACTGGAGAGACCACAGCTGAGTATCTTGCTGGGGAGGAGGAATAAAAGCAGGTCACCCCCCCAACCCTTCTCCATCTGGGTTTGGGCAACAAAGGGACACAAGCAAAGGCGAACACGTAGGCACACGAACGCACACAGAGACACACAAAGTGCTGGAAACAGCAGAGGTGCATGGCCGATCATAGGACAGACGTTAGCTAACGGGCTTCAACGCGTGTAAGGGCGCACGCGGACCTGCTCATTCAGCTCTTCTGCCACATGTCTGCTCCCTCCTTGCCAAGAGCGTCCTTCCCATGGAGTACCCTGGTGGGAGCAGAGGCAGGCCTCTCCCTTCCAGGCCTCACCCCTTCCCCTTTGTGTCTTTCTAGGTCGTGACATGGCGAGCACCACCCTGCCTGGTTACCCCCCTCACGTGCCCCCCACTGGCCAGGGAAGCTACCCCACCTCCACCCTGGCAGGAATGGTGCCTGGTAGGTGACAATGGTGCAGCTGCCTCGTTTAGATGGGGGTGACTACGCTGTGGGTGAGCTGCTGAGTCGGCTGTAGTCTGAGGCTGGGGGTGGGGGGAGACCCAACGTCCCCTCCCCCCAAGCCTTTTCTGTTCCATCCCTCTCTCTCCCTAGAGGCTGCAGTTGGTCCCTCGTCCTCCCTCAGGAGCAACCCAGGGAGGGAGTTGGCCGAAGGGGCTCTTGTGTGCACCCCACCGTATGCCAGGGCCCCTCCACGGCGCCCACCCAGCGGAGCCTGTGCCCTGGCTCCTCTCTCCGTGCCCCAGCCCACCCCAGCCAGCTGACACTGCTTGGAAGGGCCTGCCCTGGTTTCCATGGAAACTTGGAGCCCAGAACCATTTCCAGGGGCATTGTCAGTCACTCAGACAAAGCCACCCTGGTCCACACCAACCCGCAGGGAAAACCAGTGTGAACTGACCCCACCCCAGGGAGAGGAGGGAGCTAGTCCCTAAGGAAAGAGGAACAGAAGACAGGCTATGGCAGGATCCAGAGAGACTCTGGCTTCAGAGAGACAAGCTAGAGAACCACGTCTCCTCAGAGGTACCGGGCCCTCGTTGCTCCTGGGAGGAGTTGGGTCTGGACTGTGTGGATCGGAGAGGCAGAGGCCGGATTTAGGGACTGAGGACTGTAGCTGGAGATTGTGCTCTTTCCAACCTCCCATCCCAGATTGGGAGCCTGGCTTGAAGCCAGAGAGAGCTGAAGCTTCTGTTCGTATACACACCAAAAAAACCCTCTTATCTCCAAGAGGGTGAGACTCGCTGGGCCTGCAGTCCACTCCTGCTGGTTGCCCTCTTGTGTGTCCCTTCCCTGACACACAACCCTCACGGTGGGGGAGGATAGAAGAGGGTGACTGGCCCCACTCCTGGACGTGCATCCAGGGGCGGCCCTGGGGAGGCAGAGCGTGGGGGGAAGGGCAGTGGCAAAGAGGAAGACTGCCCCGGGGTGCTGTACCCCCATAGGGGCTGAAGGGAGTTAGAGGAACTGGCTAAGGAAAGCTGGGAGGTGTAGGTGAGGGGATTCCTGGCCAGATCTGGAGGGGCGTGGGTAGGAGTGTTGGGGACAAGGAGATTCTTCTGGGAAGGTCCCAGCAGTGAGCAGGTGGAGGCTGGAGAAGGTCTTAGAGAGGTGGGGGTGAGGGAGGGGGGAAGCCTGCAAGGAGGTGGGGATGAGGGGAGCCGCAGAGAGCTCATGGTGGCAAGGGGGGAGTCGTTAAACAGAATCTAGTGCTGATGAGGAAATTACACTTGTTTCATTAGCGATGGGGAAGGAGATAGCTCAGTTCCTCTTGGTCACAGTTGAGCTCAGAAGCTCATTATCCTGCTGCACGCATGCTTTCCCTCCTCGTCAATAAACAGGCTTTCCAGTGGCTGCATCCCCCACCCCCACCCCAGCTCCCTCTCGGAGAGGGGCCCCTTCTCCTCTACTTAACCCGCGGTTAGGGATCACTG